GTGTAATTATCCAAAATGCAATTAAAAATAACAAAAATGTGGGGCATACTAGTGGTTTGTTTACGCGCCATATGTACAGAGGCTACAATTGTCAAAGTGGGCAGCCCAGGTTCGAATATGACCTCCCTCCCCCCCGCTCCCTGATTTCCGACTCTATCCACCGTCCAAAGCCCCCCTGAAAAAAATCTAAATGAACAGTAATTCAAAATCAAGGGCACTCCAGCTAGTTTGACCTCCAAACTGCTGTTTCTAGCATAACATTTACAATTTTCCTTTACTTTCCAACAATGTCTCATAATACACAAAATAAAAATGTTAACTTTTTGGGCTTCAGGGGCTCCGTAGTGTTAGCAGAATGGCTTTAAGGTTTTTTTTTAATGTTTTTAAGTGGCCTAAAAAGATAAATTTAAAGTAAACTTTGAGTGTGGGCTAGTGCACGCCTGGGGTTGAGAACGAGCAGGGAGACAGGGAGGCGTCTGATTGGTTCATCAGATTGGTACCTCGTGGCAGACATTGGTGGAAGTTTTTACAGGCTTTTTACAAAAAGATTAACTACTTTCCTTGTTAATTGTTTCGCACCAATACAGCAAGTGAAATTCCTTGTATGTGTAAATGTATTTGGCAATAAACCCCGATTCTGATTCTGATCTGATTCTGAACTTTGTGAGAGGATAGGATAAATAAACAGTATAAACTAAATGAAAAATAAGTATTCAAAAAGCAGAGTTTTAGGTTCACAGATATTTATTTTCCACATTCAAATGAAGTAAAAAAACAAACAAACAAGTACAACCTTTTAAAGAAATGCATTTTGGGACACAACAAGTCAACACAACAAATTAAATGATGCTACAAGTTTAAAAAACTGTTTTTCTAATAAATAATAAATGTAAGCCTGGAGATATTCTGGATATATCTCAATCAAAACGCTGGTTTCTCTGTCTTTTCTTTGTAAGCAAACACACACAACATACAGACAATGCATGTAGACGGCACACAATATATTCACTTTTATTCTATTCTCCTCTGAGTTATAGCACGTTGCTATACATTTATGTATTTACAATGTCTGAGAATGTCAATTTCCACAGGAATCAGTAGTTAATTAAACAGAGTATGCACAAAAGAGATTATGATCTTTATACAAATCAGTGTGAAAAAAACAAGTATTGTATTTTGTTGGTTAGAAACCAATGCTGAGGCAGATATTTAATCTCCCAGACCAGCTGGGGAATTACAAGACAGGTTGTATAAAAGGTCATTTGAAATATCTTATACATGACATTCAATAATTCTCCACCACATATTTACAGAATTTTTAAATAGGGCAATGAAAGTTTATCATCAATATGAGATTAAACCAGCGAAAAAGACGTGCACATTCACTCTCAGAAAGAGAAATGCGAAAAAAACACCCACCAAAGTAGCATCTTAAAGTGACTTATGACATGTTTTTTTAAATGTCACATATTCTCCTCGTCTTCAGTTTAAATAAGTCTCAGAGCTCCTCAAAACATGTGTGTGAAGTTTCTTGTTCTAAATCCACTCTGATCCTGTATTTGATCATGTCTATAAACCCCTCTATTTCAGCCCTGCTCAGAACAGGCTGTTTCTGTGTCTGTACCTTTAAATATGTAAATGAGCTGTGTCTGACCACGCCCCCTCTCTGGAAGGGCTTGGGTGTACTTGGTGCTTTCTTGCTCCATGTCCTATTGTTTACGGTGAGAAGGCAGACTCAGAGGGCAGAACAAACACCTAGCTGTGGGAGTGTCACCCACCTGGGGGAGGGGTTACTGCCCTTTGTGATGTCATGGAGGGAACATCTCCAAACAGCCTGTTTGAGCACACTCGACCATTGAGCACACACATTTTCTGCCACTTTGACAGCTGCTGTTTGGGAAGGAGATGGGCAGGGTGGATTTGCCGACACTGATGAATAAAAAGTGTGAAAAGTTCAACACTCTTTTTTGTGTGAGATGAAGTAGCCTTAATCCCAAACAGATGCTAGAAGAGTTCATTTGTTTTGTGTGTATGTGTTAGTTTCTGTGTGTGGGTGTTTGTTTCTGTGAACACACAGACAGCACTATATGCTGCTTCTGTTGTTGCTGTGTGCTCTTGGTAATGTCACTGTATCCATTGTTTGTTATTTCCACAGGGGTAAGCTTGGCTATCGTGTCTGTCGTTCCAATGGCTTGCCCCACAGTGATGCCGTGGTTGTTCTCCTGCAGCGGCCACATTTCCTGCCAGGTGAGAGATGGATGCTGAGCCGGGTGCCCGCTGAGCAGAGGCCGCCTCTGCCTGTAGTTGGCCCACACCTGAAGAATGGTCTCTTTGAAAGGCCGTGTAGTCAGAGTGTAAAGGATGGGGTTTAGGGCGCTGTTGATGGGAAGAATAAAAATGACCACCCAGGAGCTAATGGTACCTGCATGAGAGGAAAACCAGAATTACTGCTTTGCACCCAGTGAAGACTGCAGTGAGGGATATTCTGTTATACTGTAAACATTTCAAAGAAAGGAAAACATTACTTAAAAAATAGACAATGGTGAAAGTAGGCCAACATTTAACATGACTTGTTGAACCAAAAGCATAAACAGAAAACAACTGAGTTCTCCCGGTAGATTGTTCTAGGCTGGGGGTGGAGTCCGTGGAGATACCAGGGGAGGGGAGGGGATTTTTTTTACCTGAATCCCACTGTGACATCACAAGGAGAGCAAATTTGAAACAGAGCATTTTTCTCTGTGTTGTAAGACTTATGCAGACCACAAACAAAGGACTGGATGGGTTTATTTCACATTTTGTGGGTCTGTAGACACTCAGGTTACCCAAATATATGTTCAGAAACACTGTACAAGTGGATTTTTCACAACATGTCCCCCTTAAAAAAACTTTCTAAGCACGAACAGGTCTAAGTCAGCAAAGAGATTAAAGTTACTGCTTTGTTCAACAACAAATAAAAGTTCCTTACAGGAGCTCTAAGTTTTCCTGAGATATCGATAAAGTGAGAATGGGATAAATAAACATGTGTTAAGAGAAAAGGACAAAACAAATCGGCCCACACCTTAATGCATCCGGCCATGGCTATTACTGCTGCAACATAACGAGAAAGTAATAATCCTAGAGAGCTGGACCATCAGTTGTGTTTGAAGATCTTTAAAATTCAACATTGTTATGAGGCTTTAACGGAAACTTCTTCCATCAAAACCATTTGTATAATTAATGAAAACCCTTTACATCCCTACAGGGGGCCCCAATTAGAGAGCCAAAGCTCACCAGGTTCTGTTTATAATGGATTCTGCAAAACACTAAGGGGTCATTGGGGTATACAGAGCAAACTAAAAGCACTACGGTGGCCATGCTCCGACGCTCTTTATACAGTGATAAACACCTTCAGAATATTCCAGGAATGAGGTCAAAAACACTTGTTGTACTTCTAGGAAACGTAGTAACATAAGGAAAATAAAAATGTAAAATAAATGCTTCATAAAAATCTCTCTTCCGAGCTCTTGTTTTCCTGCAGGCTTAAAAAAGCAAAAAAAAAAAACAGATTTTAAATGTTGTGTTTTGCAGTGGAGGGGCAGCTGCAGTGCCAGCAGTCACGATTAATATACCCCAAAAGTCAGGGTAAAAAAACACAGGATGTCAGAAAAGATTAACACACAGCCATACAACTGAACTAACCACATGTGCACTATAATCCATTTATCTGGCTTTATATTTTATGACCAGCATGTTCACTAAAGTTCAAGTTTCTATCAAAAATAAACTTCTGAGTCATGCATAACTCCAAAGTTCTGCTCAATGTGAATAATTCAGTGATTTTTTCTGAACAATGGGTCATTATCTGGAAGTGAATTATGTTGCCTAGCAGACATTTTTTGATTTGTATTTTCTGTCATTACCTGTGGTAAATGTACCTGTGTGATTGAATGGCACATTAAAGCAAAAGTTTCTGTGCGATATAGAAGAGGCTACAAACTTTTCAGAGCCATATTAAAGGAAGAATGTGCAGAATTTTACTCATAACTACAGCAGAAATCAAGTGTATCCTGTGTAAATGTGTCTCTGAGTCATGACTGTCTACAATGAGGGAGAAGCTCGAGTCCCGCTGGCTGTGTTGTTGTCAGCGCCGTGTTTACATGGACGGGACGGCCGGCTCCTCCCCTTGTGTATAAAAGCTGTTTTAGTCAAGAACTAGAGAGAAGAAGAACATACTCACTGATTATTTGAATGTTAGTAAGCGTTTTAGATCACTGTCACTCCGTGTAAATGTACATGCAATGTGAAGCTACGAGCTAACTAAAGAGCGCTAACATTAGCATGCTAACACAACAATGCAGCTTGAGACAAGGACAATTTTGTCCGACGCTTGCACTTATTGCTCAATTATTGTGCGTTCAAATTTGGTAACTCCTTTGTGCAAACGCTAGTGGAGGAGAGCGGAGGCTTCAGTATGGAGGAGGCGTGGCCAAACAGCAGTTTGTTTTAGTTTCATGCTGGTGCTCAAGGGCGACATCTACTGGATGAAAAAGTTGCACATTCTTCCTTTAAAACAGCATTGAGAGGCCTTAAAAGTGGACTTAAAAAATAGCTTTACTTTACATGTTTATAACATTTCTACTGTACCGGGAATCTCCACCTGCAGCAGTGACAGGATCTTGAGGATGAAAATGGGGATCCAGCAGAGGGAGTCGGTGATGACGATGGAGAAGAACCTTTTGGCGATGGTCACTTCTTTCTTGATGTGGTTGCTGTATTTGGTGGTCTGCGTCCCTGTTCTCTGGATGTTATAGAACATGCTCGCATAGGAAAGGACGATTATGAGGAACGCCACCAGGTTCAGACCTGCAGAGAGATACCTGCTTAGTTTCTGAATTCTAATATAATAGTTAAAGCTCACAGTTGCACTCAAAATGTTGAAACAAAAAAACAACATCCACATGTAATAATTTACAATAAGACTTACTACATGAAGATAATGCACCTGTAATTTTGCAATTAGAGAAATCGTTTTCAAAACTTTGTTAGAGAACTTAGACAATGCCGTAAACCCGACAACTTACTCGCTCCTATTCCTGCTTCTGCGTCCCTGGACCCTTACCTTCATCCCTTCATTCCTCAACCCTTACCTTCATACCTTCCTCTCACATCCCTGGACCCTTAACTTTATCCCTTCATTCCTCAACCCTTGCCTCCATCCCTCATCCTTCGATCCTTACCTTCATCTCTTCATCCCATAGACTACACCTCAAACATAACCCATTTCTGTTTTATACATAGAAGCAAGCCTTACTCGCTCCTATTCCTCTGATGCTGCTTCTGCATCCCTGGACCCTTACCTTCATACCTTCATTCCTCGACTCTTACCTTCATCCCCTGATCCATAACTTTATCCTTTCATCCCGCATCCCACATCACACGGACCTTTACAATCCGGCCAATCTTCCAATTATCCGACCTCACTCATCATTTCAATCTCTGCCATGCATTTTAAAATAAACTCTAAATATCATTCTTGGTGTGGTCTTTGTTAGTGAATAAAAGATGAAGAAAAAGTTTAGAATAAGAACAAATCCCCACCTAGAAAAATGACAATGGAGTAAACATGAGCCCAAAGCGTCTCAGGCTGCTCAGAGTGCAGGGGGAAGCAGACTCCATTGGTCCCGTAGAAGTTCCGGAAAAGCCCCTTGCAGGCCAGCGGCAGGAAGGCAACGATAAAACCAAAACCCAAATCCCGAACAGGATGGTGACGGTTCGTCTCCAGCCAGGCGTCAGGTACTTGAACGGGTAGACGATGCAGATGTATTTCTCCAGAGTGAGATACGTGAGGAGAAGGACTGACACCTCAGTGGACAGCATGGCCAGCGAGCCGATGACTTGACACTGACTGCTGTCCATCCAGGCCTGAGCGTGCCGGTTGTACTCGCCGCGGAACTTCAGATCATAAGCGCCGATCATGAAGAGGTAGATGCCCATCAGCCCGTCTGCACCTGCAAGAATCAGAATCAGAATGTTGTTTGGATGTGCATGATGTTTAATATTTTTGTAGAACTACTTATTTCATGTCTTTAAAGGCTTTAAATGCGATTTTTCACACTTAAATGTAGAAATCAAGTATATCCTCTAAAAATAACTCTGTGAGTCATGACTGTCTACAATGGGTGTAACACCCGAGTCCCACTGTCTGTGATGTTTTCAGAGTTTTCAGAGTCCTATCTTCAGTTTGTTTACATCGGCAGGACGGCCGGCTGACTCCTCCCCTCACGTATAAAAGTTGTTTAATTGAGGGACTAGAGAAAAGAAGAATAACATACTGTACTCACTGTTTAACTGTGTTTCTAGATCACGCTCATTTCAGGTAAATTTACATGCAGTGTGAAGATACCAGCATAATAAAGATCGTTAGCATTAGCATGCTAACACAACAATGCAGCGCGAGTTGTTTTGGTTTCATGCTTGTGCTCAAGGGCGACATCTGCTGGATCAAAAAAATCACATATAAAGCCTTTAAATGTATTCATGTGTCTTATACTTTGTATGTATGACTGCAGGGGCAGGGATCAAACCCCCAAAACTTCCAGTTTCAGCCTTTTTTGTGCGGCCGCTCAAGTTGAAAATCTTTCAACTTTTCAGAAAGGCGCTGTTGACGTCACCGCCTCTCTTTTCCAAATGTATGCTATTCCCCTTAGTTTTGCCACCTATACATATCGTGTCTTGTACCCACATCCTCCTTCCCCGTGTCTGATCGGGTAAAAAAACGACGTCAAATAAAAAAACTGTAAAAAGTAACGGAGCCATGTCGGTCATACAGCGGCCGGTGTCAACATGACTGCTGTCATAGAGACAGGGCGCTGTCAAACACTCAAAAACGCCAAGTCAGCGTTTTTCAGCCCGGAAAAAAAACGCTAGGTGGACACGGGCCCAAATCTACCACTGAGCCACAGCGGCCCTTGGTTTAGAATGTAACGTTAAGAAGAACTAGAGCTCTTATCTCTGACCAAATAATAAGAATTGACTGTTAAGATGCAATAGAAAAAAAGATTTAAAAATAAAAAGGATCCATTTAGATCCCATAGGATCTGAGCACTTCAAACACAACCATCACATTTTCAGCTTGGTCGGTTCAGAGACATTGGCACGATGTCAGCTGATTGAATTTGAACCCTGGTAGATGACAACAATATTTCTTTATAAACCTTTACCTTTACCTTAAACCTTTGAAATCCATGCATAAGAAACGGAAACAGCCATTGGATGCTGTATGCATCAGAAGAGAAGATTCATATACAGCAGAGGGTGCAGAGAGAGTTCTTTTCTTTTGGCATAAAGGAAAGCCAGAAAAAAAAAAACATGGCATAAGATCTAAAATTATTTCTGTATTGTGCTGCCTCTTATAAGTGGAGCATATTCAATGGGGACGCATTAAATTGAAATGCACACACAAAGAATTCAAATCATGCTGTGCTGTGGGTTTAAGCAACACACAGCTGGAGAGTGATCCCCAGCAAAACGGTGTGGATGTGAGGGCACTCCATCTTCCGGCTCCGTGAAAGTGGTGAGACAATCAACTCACTTCAATCAGGTGTGTGTGTCTCTGATTGGCTGTGATTAAGCCCGGGTGTGAGGAGCTTTCATAAACCGTGGCCCTTTCCGAATAGCCACAGTTCAGTAGGCAGCACGTACTGGGTCCACCTCAGTATACTGAACATTTCAGTATGGATACTAACTTCCGGGTTTCATGCAGTGTGGATCGGATGCGTCCTTTCAGGAAATGAATTGTATTTTGCCACCCACAATGCTGTGCGAAATTAAACGTAAATCTTCACGTCACTTCTCCAAATCAAAACAAACGAGCGTGGATTAATTTAATCTTAATTTAAAGTCCCGACTGAAATCACTACTTTTAATTAACAACAGAAAATAAAACAAATATCTGCATTATTATAAAACCTTTCTCCCTCTATTTAAATAATGATTTAACTATTTAAATGCGTCTTTATTGGTTTATTTTATATTCTGTATATTACTGTCTTTCATTTGTTCTTTATGTACTGTATGTTATTTAATTATTTAATCTTTTACTTGATTTACATTGTGATATTGTTTTTTGTTTACCTGGCTGTATATGAGCATTACTCTTCTTGAATAAAGCTAAACAAAAACAAAAAAAAAAACGGGTGAATGCGGCCGGTTCAGGAAACGTAAATGACGCCACTTCCATACTGAATGAATCAGACGAAGTAGGCACAAATATCTGCCTACTGTGTGTGCATAGTGAATAGTAGGTACTAACAGTATGCAGCACAGATAGTAGGTACTGCCTACTGGACGACTGAGTATGTACTTGGCAATTCGGATATGGCCCCTGAGTCTCCAGTGCTCTGTGCTGACTCATTATCTCACCTTCAGAGGTAGTGAGAGGTTCTCCCTGAGGCTTCTCAAGTTGTCGGTGTATCTATAAACACCAACTCAGAACTTTGTATGTATTCGATGTCAGTTGCCTGTTTCCCAGTGTATAACTTGGGGTGTTGGAGAGTTTGTTGTGACTCCAGCCTTTTGGGTTATCAAAGGTCTCCCAGGCAGCCTTTGCAGCAGTGGTTTAGTTAATCGTTTTCAGAGCATTATTTCATGAAGGAAGCCTGTTGTGGATCTATACAGTTTGGTTGTCTTTTCTCCCCTTTCCAATCTATTGCTATTGCGATCTTGTGGTTATAACTTTGAGACACCCCTGGGTCCACACCTGCTAAGCTAAGCAAGTTAGCTGAAGGCCATAGCTTCCTAATCATTTGAATGACTTTCAAACTGGTTTTTATATTTAACTCTTCCCCTTCAGCCAAAACATTTTGGCTACTTATTTCAAATGGAATGTTTTTTTCTTCCTCTCTGGGATGAATAAATATCTTTATGCGTTAACATGAACATGCTAAATAGCTGTGGCTCGAGAGTCTGATCAGATTTTTTTTTTACACTAATGAAAAGATCTGCTGTTCAACCTGCATGCCAAAGTTTCCCTGGTCATCGATCCTGAACTTGAAATAGCTTCTGAGAGGGCTGCCATCAGTTTGTGAATCCGAGTGTGGGAGAGAAAGGCGTGCAGTATGATTGCCAGAAGACCGGAAAGAGCTTTCCATTTTCTATAATGGCTTTCTGTGTGAATGGCCTCTTTTGACACTTTTTGAAGATGCTGCCATGCCATCTAAGGCTATTATCCAGAGGTCAAAAGGTCTCTGCTCAAGTGTTGACAAGCTATCAGGAGTATGATGACAGGAGCATTACACTTATAGGAGCTTTAGGTGACCGTGTATCTATTGAGTTTGAAGTTTATTTCAGTCAGCATGAAAAAAAAACAACACAATTATCTGATCATTACATCATATGAAATGTACAAATAAATACATTTAGGGAAAAAAACGACTGAAAAGATATGAACCGGAGCCTTTGCCAAGCCTTTTTCAGAACTTACTCGGTTAGGCAACGACACTACGACACAAGAAAATGGCTGACATGAGTCATACAATTGAAAGAGAAACAAAAAAGTTTGAGCATTTCACAAAACATTTCAGAATCAGAACAAGGCACAACCATTTCAAAATTCCAAAATATATCTAGTAAAATAAATCTCACATTTCTGCTTTCACATTTAGTAATTTCACACTTGCAGAAAACTCCTGATATCTGCAGGAGGAGCTGCATGTGTGACCGCAAACAAGACACATTTTCCAGCCATTTTTCTGCCAGCTGTCTAGTATTTTTAAGTCCAAGGAATATATCAAAGTGTAGAAGATCCAAGCCGACCGCTAGCTGACTCTGCTTGGGATCAAAGTTTGCTGACATAAAGGGCAGAAACGATACAGGCGACCTACACCGAGCGGATTTAATTAGAAGAGTGTTTTGAGAGACTGTAACTGAGAAGGTGTGGGGAAGAGAGAAGGTTAGATACACAGACCAAATGGGTGATGCATGTGTTAAAGTTCATAAATCAGCAGGTCTCCTCTCTGGTAATGGCTTATTTCTCTCCTGACTCCACTCTGTTCACCTTTTAATTACGGGATTAAATGTAACATTTGACTCCCATGAATGCACCTTATCTACGCAAAGACTGGGATGAAGGCAATAAATGAATATTATCAAGACTCATTTGTGTGCGTTAGTTATCTTAATTACAGTTCTTTGCTTTTCTCTGTCTCGAGGAACTAGTGTGCTGCTAAACATGGACCCTACTGTCATTATAGTAATACTTTTTAAAGGCCACCTTATCGAGCAAATGAGCCCCGAAATGATATTGATGAATTAAAGATGTCACTCTCTGCACGGCTTTTCATTGTGAATGCAGGTGAAAGCGTTTTGTGAGCTCTTTGATGTCAGCTCCTCTGAGCCTTATGGAGAGTCCATATAGGATTCTATTTATACACAAGCATACAGCAATGTGCTGGTGCAGACATTTATATTCCGTAAACGTTCTGTTTTCTCTGTGCAACCGAAGTGTTCACTTGGGAACATAAACCTAATAACCATGCACACTATCTGCTTTAATACCTGCACAGATCCACTCAGTGACTTCCTATTCCTGAAATGTTCCTCTCAAGATGAAATTATTTGCTTTTATATTTCTTCAAAAACATACTGACATGATTTTTTTTATTTTTTTTTTATCATCTGCGGACTCATGATATCACAGAGAAACCCATACTGAACAACACACACAAGCGTACATGCAGGAAAAATGTTATCTTTGCATGTGTCCGTGTCTTTCCCCTGTATTATCTAAACGTCTACAATTTCCCAGATATGACAAACACGGAGAGAGAGAGCCGCACCGAATGGCAAACAGGAGCTAACATGCCACGAGTGGCTGCAGCTTACGTGAAAACCTTATCTGTGCAGTGATACGTGTCATCTTCAACAACTTCCTGTCTTTGCACGAGAACACACACTTCTAATATATCGCAAACACGATAAGCCGCAGACAGATCGAGGTCCTCGTCTTATTAAACACAGAATCCAAAACTTTATTTTCAGAGGATACTCTCTCTGTAAACTCTTTGTAACTGTAGAAGAAGAGCCCCCTCGGCAGCTTTCACCGCTCTTGTCTTGAATGCCATCACAGAGAAAAAGAAAGAGCTAAAAAAGGTTACGCACTAAAAATGAGGCGATGCTCGCGAGCAAGCTCGGGCAATCAACTCGAGCTCTGCCGATTTCACACTCGACATGCCTCATCTTACATCACCTCCTTCCATTTAGCTGTCGATGTAAGCTGCAAGATTTCCGCTCTCTCCCGTTGATCTTTCACTGCCAACTCTGACCTGCAAGCTCGCTCAGCCCCACCACCTCCACCCCAGCATCCATCTGTAGCTCTCCAACTGGAAAGGGGGGTGGGGGTGGGGGTAGGGGGGGGGGTTAAGAGGTTCTTATCACTCCTCAAATTACTGCATGAAAAATAAACCAGCGAGAAGTGATGAGGTCGGAGCCTAGACGCCAAAGACAAACTAAATTCTGCTGCAATAAATATTTTAACTGATACAAACGTGAGTTGTCTGACTGAACTATAAATATGTCTGGACAAAATACCTCACGATTGTGTGCAACAGTTTAACAGAGTACGGCAGAAACGACAAACACTAACACAAGACTCATTTAGCTTCATAAACACTGTGTCTGCTGCAAACCGACAAAAGGAATCTGCTTCGCTGTGGGCTTGTACAGATCTGGGGGATTTTTAGCCGTTAAATCAGCATTTTTTGTTAGTTGAATAGGCACAATTCTGCAATTAATATGTTAAACAACAATTAGGTATTTGTTGCTCTTTTTGCACTTGAATTGCACATTTGCACACCTCCACTTTGCACTTTAATAACTTGAATTTCCATTCTGGTATGGGCTCTTGACTGATTTTATTGCGCTGTTTTTATTTTTGTTTTTATTTGATTTTATATTTTGCTGTGTTGTCTGATTTTTTTTAATTTTTTAATTTGTTTTGGTTTATGTTTTTATGGTGATGTTGTCCTTGTGTTTCTTGTCTTCTGTGTGCTCCTGTTGCAATGCAAATTTCCCCTTGTGGGGGTCTCTTGGCCTCATATTTATACAGCGGGAGAAGGAAAAGCATGTGGTCCATCTTTATATATACAGTCTATGGCCTCAACTCATTTGAACCTTCCTGTCATGTTCTACATTCTGCTACGATCAATATTTTAAACGATACAAACGCGAGTTCTCTCACTGAACTTCCTCATATCATTAAAGTTAAACACTAAGACCCAGTATGTTAAAAAATTACCTTGGGAAAGTCTTTTATTATAACCATACTGTAGCGGCTGCTTCTCGCCTGTCCTGCATAGAACATGTATTTTTACGCCTGTGGCTACTTACTTGCTTGCTCCAATACTGTCATGATACTTATATTTTTAGGTTTAAGCAATGTTACATCCAAAGGTGTTGCTTGCCCCCTCATTACTGCCTTTTTCCTCTTCCCCTTGTTTTAGTTTTTGTCTTTTTAGGGAGCCTATCCTAAAACATGGCCAGGGTCTACAGATGGAAACTAGCCTCAAACTGATAAATAAACAAAAATAGATCGGTTGAGTAGAACGTGGTGTAATTCCACCAGTCTTCCACTCTCTGAAGTGTTATCCTTGAACAGTTAATATCATTAGTGTTGATATGTGATATGAATCATCCCATGGCGTGTGCAGTTATTTTTTTAATCAGATAAATATCTAATTTTCTGGGATGAGATCACATGGAGTCTAACTCATGAGGGAGCCTAGTGGTGTGTGTAATTTGAAACACACTGATGTGCACATCTTTAACTTATGCTTCAGTATGGAAGTCTATTTACTTCACAAACAGTAAACTTGATGTTTTTTTTCCTCCTCAACATCTGTCGTTGTTCTGGCGTTAGTCCAGTCTGTTATTCCATCTGACAACATGGAGAAGTGGTTAATCCTAAACATGGCCTGACACAGTCCTTCTCAAACTCTCCACAGTGAGTACCACCACAGAGAATATGTTCCTCTCCAAGTACCAACATTGAAATAAAGTAGTTTACAGCTATATAACTACATGTACAGCCATTTTATTCCTGATATGCATATTATTTATTATTGATCTAACACCAACACACTGCGGCCTGGGCTCACTCTGTGTGCGTCTCCAAAAGCATCCAAACTGGACGTGACTCGAGTCATATTTTGCGTTGTTTGTTGCTAACGGTTACCGAAGCATCACTTGCACTGCTAACGTCGCCTCATGCACCTGTGCAGGGTTCACTGTCGTTGACTTCAGTTCCTGCTGTGCCTCTCGAGGTGGAATGCACTTTTCTTTCTAATATTTCCGGTTTGGAGCCACACATGAAAACAAATGTAACTTGTCATATTTGCTTTCTCCGCTTGCCAGCACAGCTTTGCTTGTCCAACCGTTTGATTTGTACATCTTTATAAAAGAAATAAAAAATCAGAGTCCCATATAAGAGACTCCAAGTGTACCACAAGAGGGATCCCGGGTACCACCAGTGGTACTCGTAGTTTGAGAATTGATGGCTTAAATACACAGCCCTTCATCCCTGAATACATTCTACAAGTTGGATAAACTCTCTTTGATACATTTGATACTGATGTTGAAAAACTGACTTACAGCAGAGTGAGATGATGCACATGGCGTGCAGTTTGTTCTCCGAGCGGATGTACGAGCGCATGCAGATGACGAAGATGTTTCCGAAGCAGGTGGTGGCAGAGACCACCCAGACGAAGACCCTCAGCACGATGTTAGCCAGCAGGTCCTCGAAGGACGAGATGCCGTCCGTGTTGGGTTTGCAGCTGCGCACGTGTGGAGCGTAGCCGCAGTACTGGAACTTCTTGAAGTAGCTGTGATAACGGATAAGGGAGACAAATGAATTACAGCTGCAAGGTTTATTTTATTTTTTTAACAGTCTTTGTTATAATTTGAGAAAGCTGGAAACAAGAGCAGTGACTGAAAAGTGCTTTGGGGATTTTTACTTGAACTCAGAGAGAACAGTGTTTCCTTTTGGATCTTTGTTTTTAGAGTCGGGGAGTTTATATCAAAAAAGGTTATTAGTTCAAATTCTTGAATGCGGTGAGGTGCATATGTGCACAGCCAGATCAGGAGAATATGCGGAGCATAGTAATTTAGGTGAAACGTCCTTTTAAATAAGACCAAATGTATCTGCTAAAAACAAACCATTTCCATCTTTCTGTACCTTTCTTTAACCTGAATGAAACTCTACAAAAGAGCTTCAAAGATGAAAAGTGCATAGATTTTTTTTTTCTCTGGTTATCGCTGCATTTGAGTGTATAAGCTGAGCTGCTATACCCGGAGAGAAGACGGATTAAACGCCCGATGTCATCATCTCCCAGTTGGAAGAGAAGCCTGACGATCTTGATAAGAGTAGCTTGGGGACTTACAGAGTTTTAAAAACAGCATGGAAAGCCAAATGGCACAGTCTATATGTCAGCCTTCCATCAGATGATAAAGATCAACAGGATGAAAATAGAAACAGGGCGGTGGAGTACTCACATATGAGTCAAGTATTTCAGAGGTTCAAACATCCTCCGTTGTATGTTTTCAATTTCTATCCCCTCTATGCTCCTGAAGAAAAGAAACACAGTACAGTACATTGATTGTAACTTTATACAAAAACAAGAGAAACCAAAAGCACAAAATATGTAACCGCTCGAGGTTCTGCTCAATTAAACAGCCTCTCAAGCAATTAATGAATACTATTCATTTCAGTTTCACAGATTTTGTGATTTTGTGTGGGATTATGCTCGTTTCTCCATGGAGAAATAACAAAATATCCAAACAACAGACTTCTTTCCTTTCCCAGGGTCTTTTTTCATTTTTCATTATGCGGGATCATTACACTCTGTGGATATTTATCTAGAGCACAAACAATGTCAGATTCTCTTTTCTCAACAAAGAGGTCTTTACTTTGCTGCATGGGTCAGCCGTCACCATGCTTTGTTTTTACTTACAATGACTTCAGTTTATGCAGCTTGTCAAAGTGGTCGACCTGGAGCGCCATGATGGGATTGTATGATATATTCCTAGAAAAAAAAAAAAAAAAGAAATGTAGAGGTGAAAAGCAACCAATAAAAAAAAATTCATGTCACACATCAACTGCAGACTGTATAAAAATGGACAGCGCAACACTTCGGCTCAAGTGAAGCCAAAGTGATTTAGAGCTCCACATTTGACTGGCTGCAGTAAAAGTCTTAAATCTCGCCTCCTTCATGATAACAGATTAACATGGCTCAACGAGGAAAGATGGATTTATTTTATTATCTGTTTGGAAACCTGAGACACAACTTAGGAAAGATGACTTTCTGCAGCCGGTAAAGCTGCTAAAAATGAGACGACGACGTCACCCATAATGATTTTAAATTCCTTTAAATTGTTATATCTGCCATTACTTAACAGAAAACTAACTTTATTGCCATCCTGGAGTCTGAATAAATCTGTTTGCTCACACAGAGAACTATTCATCCCGTTTTGTTTGTTTTAAACAGAACTCACAGTTGGAGCAAATCCTCCAGCAGGACGAAGAGATTGGGAGGAATCGTCACCAGTCTGTTGTTGGATAGATCTCTGCAAGCCGAGACAAATCCACATCAGTTCACCAAAAACATAGAACAAAAGGAAAGGTGCAGGCAGATCTTCAGAATAATTGAAAAAAAAACATCCTTTGTGACTTTAAAACACGACACATTAATCAACAACACCTCTGCAGGAAACACTTTAGAAACTCACTTCCCCCAGAAGTTTATAAAACATTTTACCTTTGCACCAACATAAGCCCAAACGTCAGCTCTTTAAGGTGTAAATGAATGCTGTGACGACGATCACAGCTGCAGGAGAATAGTGTGACTTTTTAAAGGCGATAACAATTGAGACTTTCAGCTCTCTCAAACTGTGACTGTGTCATATAATGATGGTCGTCACTTCTGATGTAAAGCCTGAAAGTAACTCCAACACCTTTATTCTCAAATAATTATTTTAATATTACGACCTTATTCTCCAACGACTCTATTCTGGAGACTCTCATAAAGTATGTTTCATCATACATGTGTGATATAGTTCATGGCATATTTCTAGTCTTTTCGTCCATTCTTGTTTGAAATGAATCACATTTCTTGATTCATTGTTAGTATTGGACTCTTAATCTTTCGTTTAATTCTCCTATTTCTTCACTTTGTGGGAAGTCGTACCTCCTACTCCCGTTTGAAAGGTGCTAAATAAAGCTTAATTTATGTATGATTATTGTTATTAGTCCATTACTCGGTGTAACTCCCCCACACACACACACACAGGTCACTCTGCTTCCCATCTGTTGTAATTCAAACAACCATGATATCTCGGTGTCTTCATTGAGAGTAAATTAAATTCAAGAAGGCTCAGTCAAGACTCTTAAAGAAGCTTAGATCCTCTGACTTTAGCAAGAACCTTTGCATCATCTGTGTTGATGATACAAAAAGGATCAAAGAGGCTGGCTCTGTGATCGGCTTTACCCCACACTCTCTTGAAGTCATCTTTGAGAAGAGAACGAGGACAACACAGCGGTTTTAACAGACTCCACAGCTCCTTCAGTGAGCGACTAGTGATGCTTCAGTGTTCAGAGAACGACTCAGGAGGTCCCTTTGTTCCAATTCAATTCAATTTATTTTGTATAGCGTCAACTCATAACAAGTGTTATCTCAAGACACTTTACAAAAAGCAGGTAAAATACCTTACTCTTTGTCTGTTAACATTACAAAAGAGCAGGTAAAAGACCTTACTCATTGTTATGTTACAAAAAGCAGGTAAAAGACCTTACTTATTGCTATATTACTGCCTGTTCTGGCAGGCCGTCAACCAACGATCTTGAGGAGCCTAAGAGAGCTCAAGAGCTCTCAATAAAGTAGGTGTTTAGTGACTGAGATTTACAGATAGATACATGCAGTAATATGATGTACTGTATATGCACAGAGAGAGAGAGAGAGAGAGAGACAGAGAGACAGAGAGAGAGAGAGGAGCTCAAGGTGACAGTTTCCCCGGTAGTCTAAGCCTATAGCAGCATAACTAAGAGCTGGTCTACACCAGCACTAACTATAATATTTATCAAAAAGGAAAGTTTTAAGTCTATTCTTAAAAATACAGAATGTGTCTGCCTCCTGGACCCCGGCTGGAAGGCGGTTCCAGAGGAGAGGAGCCCGATAACTGAAGGCTTTACCCCCCATAGTACACTTGGAGACTGTAGGTACCACCAGCAGGCCTGCACTCCGGGACCGCAACGCTCTCGAGGGACAGTACGGCACTAGTAGCTCCTTCAGGTAAGATGGTGCCTGGCCATTTAGCGCTTTGTAGGTGAGAAGAAGGATCTTGAATTCTATTCTAGACTGTATAGGGAAGCCAGTGCAGAGAAGCCAGGACAGGAGTGATGTGGTCCCATTTCCTGGTTCTGGTCAGTACACGAGCTGCAGCGTTCTGGACTAGTTGAAGAGTCTTTAGAGATTTGCCAGAGCACCCTGACAAAAGAGAGTTACAATAATCCAATCTGGAGGTAACAAATGCATGAACTAGTTTTTCTGCATCATTTTGCGACAGGATATTCCTGATCTTGGATATATAATGAAGGTGAAAATAGGCTGTTCTTGAAACTTGACTGATGTGAGAGCTAAAGGACATATCTTGATCAAAAAGAACTCCTAGATTCCTAACAGTGGTGCTAGATGCCAGGCTGATGTCACTAAGGACAGTCAAATCACTAGAAAAAGTCTCTCTGAGGTTCTTAGGGCCTAGCACAATAACTTCAGTCTTGTCTGAGTTAAGTAGCAAAAAATGTCTGGTCATCCAGGTCCTAACGTCCTTAAGGCACGCTTCTAGCTTACATAACTGACTGGTGCCATCGGGCTTCATTGATACATAAAGCTGAGTATCATCTGCATAACAATGAAACTGTATGGAGTGTTTCCTCATAATATTTCCCAGAGGAAGCATATATAATGTAAAGAGAATTGGTCCAAGCACTGAACCTTGTGGGACTCCATGGCAAATTTTAGTGTGCATAGAGGACTCATCATTAACATGTACAAACTGAGATCGGTCTGATAAGTAGGATTCAAACCAACTTAAAGCAGTCCCTGTAATTCCAAGTAAATGCTCCAGTCTGTACAACAGGATCCGATGGTCAATGGTGTCAAAAGCAGCACTAAGATCTAACAAGACGAGCACAGACAGAAGTCCCCTGTCTGAGGCTAGAAGTAGATCGTTTGTAACTCTAACTAGTGCAGTCTCAGTGCTATGGTGGACTCTAAATCCTGACTGAAACTCCTCAAATAAACTGTTGTCATGGAGAAAGTCACACAGCTGTTTAGCTACCACCTTCTCCAGGATCTTAGAGAAAAAAGGAAGGTTGGATATAGGCCTGTAGTTAGCCAGAGTTCCTGAGTCCAGAGTAGGCTTTTTAAGTAGAGGTTTGATTACCGCTACTTTAAATGCCTGGGGTACATAGCCTGCCAGTAAAGACGAATTGATCATATCTAATATAGAGTTGCTAACTAAGGGAAAGACTTCCTTAAACAGCTTGGTTGGGATTGGGTCCAAAATACAGGTTGACGGTTTCGACGCAGAAAAAATGGAATATAGCTCTGAAAGGTCGATTGGAGAAAAACAGTCGAGACTAATATCTGGTCCTGGAACTGTCTCTGCCGTATCAGACGTATCCGCACCAGGTAAGGGCAGGAGGTTACCAATTTTGTCTCTGATGTCTAGAACTTTGTTGTTGAAAAAACTCAGGAAGTCACTGCTGAGGGCTAAAGGAATACAAGGCTCAATGGAGCCATGACTCTCTGTCAGCCTGGCTACAGTGCTGAAATGGTATCTAGGATTGCCTTTGTTTTGCTCAATTAGAGAGGAGTAGTAGGCAGCTCGGGCGTGACGTAGAGCCTTCATATATCTTCTATGACTATCCTGCCAGAAAAAACGAGATTCTACCGTTTTGGTTGAGCGCCATATTCTTTAAAAATTCCGCGACGATTGTTTTAGAGTACGGGTTTCTGAGTTGAACCATGGAGCTATTCTCTGCCGTTGATAACCTTCTGTTTCAGGGGAGCAATCGAATCCAGAGTAACTCTCAGCGAATCCACTGCACTATCAACAAACTGATCTAGCTGAGAGGGACTAAAGCTATCATAAGAGTTTCCAACTGGGTTGAAACACGGTACTGAATCAAAAGCAGCTGAAATAGCTTCCTTAAATCTAGCAACAGCACTATCCGACAAACTTCTAGAGAGCACACCTCTTCCAGGCAGAGGTAATTCTGGTAGGACAAAATCGAATGTAATAAAAAAATGGTCTGATAGCAGAGGATTTTCTAGGAAAACTGTAAGGTTATGGATTTCAATTCCATAAGCTAAAACAAGATCCAGGGTGTGGTTAAAACGATGAGTAGGTTCGTTTACACCCTGGGTGAAACCAATAGAGTCTAATAGTGACATGAAAGCTGTGCTCAGGCTATCATTATCAGCATCCACATGGATATTGAAGTCACCAACAACAATTATTCTATCACTGCTCAGGACTGAATCTGATAAAAATTCTGCAAATTCAGATAGAAACTCAGAATATGGGCCAGGAGGACGGTAAACTACAACAACTAGAACTGGCTGAAAGGTTCTTGAGACTGGATGTGAAAAACTAAGAACAAGGCTTTCAAAAGAAGAAAAATTCAGCTTTGGTCGAGGGTTAACTAGAAGTCCAGAATTAAAAATAGCAGCTACTCCACCACCTCGTCCGGTGTCTCGAGGTATATGAGTACAAAAATGACTGGGAGGAGTGGATTCATTCAAACTAACATATTCATCTTGACACAGCCAGGTTTCAGTCAAAAAAAGTAAATCAATATGCTGATCTGATATCAGATCATTCACTAAAAGAGATTTGGATGCTAAGGACCTAATGTTCAAAAGTCCGCAGTGAATCTTCTGATTTTTTAGCAAAATCGTATTCGTAGTCTTGATCCTGATGAGATTTTGACGATTTATGCCTTTTCTTTCTTCATTTGGATGACTTGGTCTGGGCCGGGGGACAGACACAGTACCTATAATATTACTACAGTTCGATTCAGAATTACAGCTATAGTGACTGGGAGACAGATCTAAGTGTAAGACTGCAGCTCTGCCTCCTGGTCTGAACTCTGTGTTGTTGTCAAGGTTTTGGACTAATAACCTCTGCTATGTTTCTAGATAATAGAGCTGCACCGTCCAAAGTGGGATGGATGCCGTCTCTAGCTAGCAGACCAGGTTTTCCCCAAAAAGACTGCCAGTTATCTATGAAGCCCACATCGTGTGCTGGACACCACCTCGACAGCCAGTGGTTGAGTGATGACATGCGGCTATACATGTCATCACTGGTCTGATTTGGGAGGGGTCCAGAGAACACTACGGAGTCCGACATCGTCTTAGCAAAAGTACACACCGACTCCACATTAACCTCAGTGACTTCCGACTGGCGTAGTCGGGAGTCATTAGTGCCGACATGAATTACGATTGTATCAAATCTACCTTTAGTCTTTGTCAGCAACTTTAAATGAGATGCGATGTCGCCCGCTCTGGCCCCGGGTATACACCTAACTATGCCCGCTGACTTCGCTAGCTTCACGTTTCGGACTATGGAGTCTCTGAATGCCTCTATGAAGCCAAGCTATGTCGGCCCGCACCAGCTACAGGTGGCTGGCTAACTACTGCTGCGTACGATGACTCTGACTCAATGGTGCGGAGCCGTCTCTCTAACTCAGACACCCTCGCCTCCAAAGCTAAAAATAAACTACATTTCTTACATGTATCATTATCACTAAAGGAGGACGAGGAGTAACTTAACATCTGACACGTAGAGCAAGAGAGAGCAGGAGAGGGAGAGACAGAAAAAGAAGCCATTGTAAAGCTAACTGCTAAGCTAAGCTAAGAGTAGGTACACAGTACAGAGGAGAACAGAACAGAAAATGATGCAATACGCTCACCCGTAGTTCGCTGCACGGGTGCTGCTCGCTGCTCTGCTCGGGTCCAGCAGCAGTCAGATATTTTAATGAACATTTTCAGTTGTTTCAGTTGATTCATGGCTGTAAATTATTTCTCAAATGGTTTCAAAAGCTGTTTGTTATTGATTTACTTGTGTATTATTATTGTACTGTAGGTAAAGTTTGTTGTATGAAGTTTTCTAATCAAATCTAATCGAGTGTTAATTCAGGACGTTTTTTACCTCTGCAACCCGCTTGCACCCGGTTGCAGCGGCTTCACCCAGTCAGCGTGCTTTTGACCTGGTTTGAGGATGACGGCATGACTCTCACATGTGTGCTTAAGAGTGTGTAGTCGTGTTGCCGACACAACAAGGAAGCACTTTTCTATTTCTGTCCCAGCACACCTGTGCAGTACTCTAAACTCTTCTGTTATACTTCCCCCTCCTCCTCTATTCTTCATACCTCTCCTGACTCATATTCTTTTTTTTCCTTTTCTTATTTGGTTTGTTTCAATTATTTAGTTTTTCTCTTCTCCTTTGCTCTTTTTTCTTCAGTCTGGTTCCTTGTCTACCTCCTTATTTATTTAGTTTATTTATTTTTTCTGTCCCATTTTTCCTACTCAAAGCTTTCTCATACGCTCCCTTTTCTATTGTTTTTATTCCCATTCCCACCTTACTCTCTTAAGCTTTATTCACATATACAGATGTATTATTTATCATCCACTTATTCTACTCTTTTTTTCATTCCTTTTCCACCTTAAAATCTCCCACATGAGTGTGTCTGTAACCGCTTCAGAGACCAACCAAAATCAACCAAATACATTTGGAATCAATAACACTCACTGCAGTCCTTCTAAAAAGCAATCACACCTTTTCATGTGTGTAGTTCAAGTAATGACAGTGGAAGTCGTGACGGCCCCGCCAGCAGGAGCCTGCTATTGTGTTTCTGTGTCACTTCATGTTTGCGTCCCCGCAGGTCGCTTGGCGGTGTCCTTTTTAACATTTTAAGTATAAAACATCTTTGATGTAACAATTGGTGGTAGAAGTTATTTTACAACGGATTGTTTCTCCGACAAGACAAAATCAATCAATAGAGATTTCAGAAGAACAAGAATTGTTTGGACTCAAGAGGCTTTTAATAGCTGCAGAAGTGTCTGTAATCCTGTCATTAAAGCACATTAAAGGAAAGACACACAGAGCGATCAAAGACAGACACTTGTGTGCAACACTCGAAGGAGTACAGAAGAGAAGTAAAAGGAAAACGCTCCATAACAAGCTGCTCCTAACTTGTTGTTTGTGAGTTAGTAATGAGAAAGACCCTGAAGTGAGAGGCGCTGGTTGAAGTCGCTTTGATTTTTGAACAATAACATTGATGCTCGAGTTTCAATAACACCAAGAGGATTCTCAAGAAGTGTATCGATACTGTGACATAGCATGAATCATTCTAATATCACAAAATAACAACAAGCTTCTTCTGATTACTCAAAGCGCTGAATACACCACAAGCCGTATCTACACCTCCACACCCTGACGGCAGAGAAGTGTCCATCAGTATTAACTAATCCATTCATACACATACACTGCAGACAAAGCAGCGGGAGCAACTTTGGGTTAAGTATTTTGCCCGACATGTGGCTGCAGGAGCTAGGGATCGAACTCCCAACCTTCAGTTGAGAGATGCTCGACTCTAACACTGAGCCACAGCTGGAAAAAGCATGTCGCATTAGTTTGATTATGGTTCAGAAGACGTGTGTTAAATGATTTCTTCTGTATCACCTTTCTTCTTTAAACATATATTTCATTGCTTTAAAGGAGGCGTTTGCACATCCAACTATCTCATGAGGTAGGACGTCAAACTATAGCCGCGTTACTCTGGCTCAGCATCCTCATCTATTAGAAAAACAACACAACGTTTCAGTCCCTCTGGTCCTTTATCGACGGTGCTCTCACTTTCAAGCCTTTAATTGCTCGGATGTTGGCAACAATATAAGAAAAAAACATTAAAACTCCATCTTGTAGTGTAACCCAGAACTTCCACTAGTGTCAACATTTAGCTGCATTAACTGTCCGGAATTCATTCATCTTTTTATCTTTTGTGAATGAAATGTCTGTCAGTCATTCATGCCTTGCTACAGAATGTGTCGTCTGACCTCTGCTGAATAAATCAGAAAATAATTCCACAGTCTGTCACCCCTAACATGTAGCCTCTTTTAAATTTGTATTTTGCACAGTTGCTTTATTTATTTTAGTCTAATATTGTGTTTTTGCACAAGCAAACAAAATTAACTTACAACTCTCCGAGCTTCTGGAGGACTGAAAACGCTTGTTCATGGATGTGGCTGATCCTGTTCCTCTGTAAGACCCTGAAGAAAGGCAACAAATCGACACCAAAAAAGAATCAGATAGACACTATGATCCTTCAAATCAAGTTAAAATGAACTGTCAGAATTAATTGGGAATATGGGCATGTAGCTGCAAAAACACATTTTGAGAAACTGAGGCGGATTCAGGTCAAAAAACCACAAATGTTTTCTTTGCTATTAAATGTATACTCACAGAACTGTCAGCATGCTGCAGGAGTGTAACGAGACGTTTCCAATGGTTTCAATGACATTTCCCTCCAAATCCCTGCAACAACATGTTAGGAAATTCACACATAGAGGAAAAGCATATTCAGAGACCCACTCAGCAACACTGACAGGGCGCATTCATCAAACATGTCATCTTTAAAAACAGCCTTTTGACGCGTTGACATGCCACTTACAGCCAGTTGAGCCGCGGCATTTCATGACAGATGTCATCCAGCTTTGACAACGAGTTGTTCAGCATCACCCTGTCAATCAGAGACACACAATGTAACAGGGCGTAATCCTTCAACGCTCAGGAGGAGCACTCATTCAATCTGAAGTAAACAACAACGGCTTTTAAAAGCAGAAGTTTTCACGGTTTCAGACAGACATCACAGCAAAGTAAAACAGAGAAAATCTGAGTAAAAACTCACAGTAACACAAGAGAGTTCAGTCCAGAAAAGGTCAAGGAGGACATCTGATGGATTTTGTTATTTTCCAGGATCCTAAAACGACAAAACACAGGATACATGTTGCCGTTCTCATTTGCATTATCTGGTTTGGTTGTGACGTTGCCCTTTTGCACAGAAAAATAAATCTGATTTATGAGTCGGGATTATTTATCAGAGAAGTCCAATGCCAAAACCAATATTTACAAAAAGGTAATACATCCTTATTTTCCATGCATGCAGTAGTTATATTCTTTTGAAAAAGCATCCATCAGAGGAGGATGAACATACAACCACTCCAGCTTGTGCAGGTCCTTGAACACACCGGGCATTAGGACGGATATCTTGTTGTAGCTCAAATATCTGAGAGGAAACAAAAAGTTCAATAAACTTAAGGAAAAAGAACACGTTCTTTAATTGCACAGCAAAGTATTCTAGAGTAGTTTCAACCAATCAAACAAACTTTATTCATAAAGCACCTTTCAGAAAAATTCGATTACATTCAAAGTGCTTCACAAAGGCGTGGAAAAGCGATTGACAAAAGGTTGTTTGTTCAAAAAGATGAAGAGATCAAAAACACGTTTATAAAATAAAGATGGATGATAACAATAGGAGACAAGAAATGAAAAAAAATAATTATTACACACAAAACCTTAAAATGTTTGTTATCAGGGTGTTGGTGGTGTAGCAGATAGTGTGTGCGCCCTATGTACAGAGGCTATAGTCCTCCAAGCGAGCAGCCCGGGTTCAGACGGGGATCTGAACCAGGAACCTCCTCGCTGTGAGGCAACAGCACTAAACACCATGCAGCCCGAACTGTTGCCTAGTTCTTTTTAATACTTACTATATGCGGTCCACTCTCTTATAAAGTTTAACAGACCGTCGATGAAGTGATTGTGAGATTTAAACATGTTATTTTAAAACCACAGGCATTAATCTGCTGCTGTGACAATTTCCACTCCTTGGGGGGGAAAACTATTTTTAACATCTTTGGGAGCCTGACTGCAGGGAGCCGCTCCCCTTCAGCCACAACAGAGTTAGTATTCAGGCCACAAGGGTGATAAGGACTCGCTCACAGTTGGAGTAGAAGCTGAGGGATTTGTATAGATATATTATTATTACACATAAATACAGCAGAAGTCAGGTCTATCCTCATGACACACTAATGTCTACAATGAGTAAGAAGCTCGAGTCCTGTCAGCTGTGTTGTTGTTGGAGCTGTGTTTACATGGACGGGACGGCTTTTTAGTTTTTTAAATCAACACAATTAAATCAATATTTGGAAGAGTGTATGTGTGGCAATGCACGGGCAACATCACATTTTCTGTTTTGGTGTGCGAGCGGGCTCAGCACTGACTTCCTCACAACAAATCTAAGCAGCAGTAGTGAGAAGTGGCCATTTTGTAGTCTGAATATGATAAGACTTTCCCTTCCAGCTGAGTTGCACACAGCCAGAGCTTTTGACTCATCTCCTGCAAGCTCAGCTTCAGGAGTCCGTCAGAGCTGATGCTCTGCTTCATTCTGTGTACATGATGTAGACACAGCCTTCATAAGCAGATTCTTACAAAAACCAAATGTGACAAATGTTACAAGAATCAACAGAACTCACAGTCTTGTAAGATTATACAGCCCTCTGAACGCGTCAGGACTCACATCTTGAATTCTGTTGTGCTGCAGATATCTGTGAAAAGAAGCACAGGAACAGTTGAAAAACATAAACATCGCACAAAAAGAAAGTTTGACAGTGGCAGAGAAGATTGGCAAGTTTTTCATAGGTGCAACCCACATACTCGTCTCTGCTGCTCATCCCACAAATGCATGTTCCTTACAAATGTGGCACCACTGAAAAGGGAAATAAACAGGCTTTCCGACCGAACAAGAAGTATTGCCAAGAAGTATTGTTACAAAAACAAAATTATCCACCTAACACAAATTTCTTTACTTTGTGTGCAATGTTTATAAAACATTTGAACATATTGGATTCAGAACAAAAAAACGCTATTCTGAAACTGTAGTCTGGTGCGTGTCATTGATTCTTTTATTTACCTCACTTTCACTTCCTGTTTTGACATTGGAGAAACTTTTATCTGCACTGTAACAATATGTCATGTATTCATACAATCCTAATTCATTTTAAAGATAAAGATAAGAAAAAAAAACATTTTAAATATCTAATTTTTGCTCAGTTTTGTGACATTTATGTGCATAGGACTGTGAAGAGTGACAGGAAAAGTTAGTAGAAGAGAGTCGGGGGATGACATGCAAATGACTCAACTCAATGACTCATCTCAAACCCCAGACACCACGAGGCATGTGGCCTCCGCACATGTGATGCACGCTCTAAACAATCTTAATTTACGCCCCATGTAGGGATTAAATTTCATTAAATTGAAGTCCCTTTTTTATTGCTTGTGTTTCCTAAATGTCATTGAAATATGGCCACTTTTAATTGCTTTGATGTTTATTATTAACTGAAGTAATTAAAGCTGCCATACTTTTCCTCAGATTTGATTTCTTAATAGGCAAGTGAACTTTGTTTTCCAGATTTTTGATGAGTAACATAACGTTTTCAAACATCACTGAGGTTTTTAGAAGGTTTTAGGCAGTTTTAGGTCTAAATATGCACAAGTTATTCTGGTGCAGACGTTTAAAGGAGATCTATTATGTTGAACCATATTTAAAAACATCCTTATTATGTTACCATGTTGGAGGTCCATAATAAACCATGGCAACGGTTTTAAACACAAGATAAACAGTTGTTGGGGCAATCCCTGGACGTGGTTTCCTGCTGCTCTGAACGAGACTTTTCGGGATCTTTGCGAGACTTGGCCAGAACCTGACCCCAGGTTCTGCCGTTGTCCCAGAGCAGAGTTCTAGGACACGCCCACCCTGAAGCCCACTCTAATTTCCCTGCAACTACAAACAGAGCTGGCCAATCGGAGGAAAGTGTGCTCGTGGGGAGGCGGGTCTAAAAGAGACAACAGCTGAAATTAAATGTTCCTACTTAATGGGCATTCCAGACTGACATAATTAATGGTGAAAGTGAGGATAATAGATCTCCTTGAATCCTTCAGTCACACTCATCCCAACAGACCTCCGCAGACATCTACGTTCAGCCTTTTGTGTTATTCATTCTGATTTTTATTTATGTATATCTACAGAAAGTTTTCACTGTGGTTGAAGCTTCAGAAGCTGAAGGCTGACAGTCTGACACGGCAAACAGTTTCGTGGCTGAGGATAAGACCTGTTCTCTGTGTGTGGTAGATAAGAACTAGGTCGGCAATGAATGAATCCATATGCAGAACAGAACAATGGCTTCTGTCACTGTTCCCCTCAAGTCATCTTTGCCTTAAACACATCCGCTTTGTAGTTCAGAAACACTTTGTTGTATCTGTCATTCAAAGGATAGTTATTATCTCCGCTCTGTGGCAGATGCTGGGCTCAAACTTAATTAATCATATAGCCTCTCATGCATGGTAATAATAGTGTTTTATTATAAATGGGGCTTTCATGAAAGCAAGACAACAGACTGAACAGAGTGCGGATAAAAATCAAAATAATAAGTACTTGTAGAAATGTGGAAAAATACATTATGTATACCGGGATATCTATCACACTATTTATATTAAAATGACATATAATCCATAATTCATGGGATACTCACAGCTTCTGCAGGCTCTGGTATTTGAAGAATATGTTCGCTTTCAGTGTGTGAAGGTGATTTCTTTGAAGAGACCTGAAAGATAGGAAGAGGTTTTATGTAACAATTCAGATTGAGGTCTTAGCCTTTTCATGATTTTGATTTAGTTTCTGTTGTTTTGTGTTTGATTTGATCCTTTCCTTCCATCGTGTTTCTCACTCCTCCTCAAGTGTATTTGTTTCTGTTATATTCTTGAGCTCTCTTTGGGTCTTCAGTGTTTCCTGTTTGACTTTTGTAGTTCTTGTATGTGTGTTTCATGTCTTGTGTTAAGGCCCCGACACACCAAGCAGACGGCAAAGAACTATTGGTGTCTGGCACCAAAAGTCAGGGTTCGGGAGGCAGACAAATTCTCCGGAAAATTTAGTCCGGAAAAAGTCGAGTGTGTGTTAGATGGATTTGTAAGAAGAGAAGTCGACACCATGTGCATATAATACGTGTCTGGCTTAATATTGAAACAAAACCTACAGCCCTGTCTGAAACCACCTTAGGTAGGCAGGTCGCAAATATCTCAAAACTTTAAAGAAGACGTTCCAACTTTATAAAAAACACAACAATCGTCTTTTATAATAAGACGATTACCAGATAATCCAATCTGTAAAACTGGTCATTTACATCCTTCTGTTATTTAGCATTTGATAAAAGATCTCAAAGAGGCTCCGAAGCTTTTAACGGATTAGAGTCTGATTGAAGGATAATCCATTCAAAGAACATTATTGTAGCATTGAGCACATGGAGGGGGTCAGTTTTGGGACTCTTAAGATTTAAACAGCGTCTCTATGGGCTCACATCTTTATGGCACACAGTATTACCTCCCTACTTAGATCTGATTCTGGTCCATTTCAGACGTACTGATTGTAAAACACTGAGATGTTCATATTCTACTTAAGCTTACCTACTTTTCTGTGGATTCTTGGGATTTAGCGGACTGTTTAAACGGCTCAAACCTGAAGTAAATAAATGGTTTCAGTTTGATAAACACCATCTGTTCATGGCTTCTCTTTCCACTTGTTGGAAGTTTCTTTCACAAAGAGTCAAAAAGGGTGCTTTAAGATCTGCTTTTGGAAATCAGCTTATCAAAACTGTTGTAGTACAGCAGCTAAATGTATCAAAGCAGTGAGGTTATGTGACATAAATCAAGAAAATGGTTTAATGTGAGGTTTGATTCATGCTGCTCAATCAAATGCAATTTCATGATTATTGCAAAAAACCCATCACAAAAGTCTGAATTTATCACAATAATAAAGAGAAATGCCTTCTCCCTCAGCTTGCATACATTTTACCTACAGGATGGTATTGCGGCGGCTAATATTGAAGATGACTCCAAAGGAGAGATAACACGTCTCAATGAACTCTAACACCGCTCCCTGCAGATCAGCCTGCATCAGACCCGACAACCACAAACTATACCTTCATTGTTATGATCCTGTTTAATAGGTTGTGATGAATGTTAGACAGGGACATAAAACCAGGTTGTGCGATATTAAAAGATAAAACTGATTCAACAAAACATTAGTAGAATGCTAGTCCTGTCGTGTAGAAGGAAACTCTTGCACTCTCCATGCCAGCAGGGGGCGGTAGTCTGTAATCGTCATTCCAAAAAGGGATAAACTGGAAGAGGACGAGGACGGAGAAGAATGCAGATATATAAAACGTTGTTATGATATGAGGAGACCATTTCCACACCGCTGTCGCTCAACACTCGCAGTATAGGTACTTCTAATCGAGGATAATGTCTGATACAAAGTTGAAGTCGTTTACTTGCTTTCGTCACTTCTGTCTTTCTTCTCATGCACTGATTCTTCTCATGATTAGCTGAACAGCCAATCTGAGTGATTCATCTCACCAACCGCGCCGGCCGACGCTGATTCAACATGTCGAATCAGCCAAAAAATGCAGACAGGGGCAGATGGAGCCTGACACACTGCAAAAACTAGGGCGACGATCTCCTTGATGTGCCAGGATCTTAAAGACCTACAAAAAATGATTCAGTGGATACCTTCTTCAAGACGGGATCCGAAGGAAACACTGGAGCACATAAATCACTCAAGGCAAATGTAATAAAGGTGCATTTGTGTGATCCAGTATTTTATTTGTTAATAGCTGTCTTGAAATGTGCAAAGTTTTCAGAGGAAGACGAGGCGATGCTGTCACTTGGAGAAGATAATGATGATTGTAATAGCTAGAAGGTATTCATTATACTAATATTATGCATTACAAGGAAATTATGACATGAGTGAGGAAGAAGACGAGATTATAATTAAAACATAATTGCCTGGTTGTTAGACTTTCAAGGTGACATAACACTCTCAAATTTATATAAATTGGTCACAATCCAGATACAAAGCTCCAGCTCATTGGAAGAAGCTTTGAACTGGAGAAGCCTTTTGGAGGAGAGGTGAAAGTTAGGATCTTCAACTGAGTCCACTTGCCTTTGGATCAAGCTTTGACCTACTGCTGCTCTTTATACTATTTTACTCTTATTTCCTAAACAGGACTTATAGTGTTGTAATTGTGTTAGGACCCCCTTAAGAATGAGATGCTGCATCTCAAAGGGCACATATAATGCAAAATACACTTCACCATGTTTTTCTAACTCCAACATGTGTCTCTAGTCCGTCTACAAATCCCCCAATGATGAGAAAAGTCCATCCTCTCCGTCTTTAGCCTGCTCCACTTTTCAGAAAGTGTGTGCTCAAACAGGCCGTTAGGAGATGTTCCCCTCATGACATCACAAAGGGCAGTAGCCCCTCCCCCAGGTGGGTGACACTCCCCCAGCTAGGTGTTTGTTCTGCCCTCTGAGTCTGCCTTCTCACCGTAAACAATAGGACATGGAGCGAGAAAGCCTGAGCCCACCTGAGCCCTTCCAGAGAGGGGGCGTGGTCAGACACAGCTCATTTACATATTTAAAGCTACAGACACAGAAACAGCCTGTTCTGAGCAGGGCTGAAATAGAGGGGTTTATAGACATGATCAAATACAGGATCAGAGTGGATTTAGAACAAGAAACTTCACACACATGTTTTGGGGAGCTCTGAGACTTATTTACACTGGTTTAAAAGTAGTGTGACACGTGACCTTTAAAATATTCAAATATCTTCAAAAGATAAAACTCTTACTCGTAATGTCTGAAAGAAACTTTTTTTAATTTGACAAAATTACAAGCATGTTATTCCAGCTCTTTAAAGAATATAAAGGATTCATATTTTTCAGCATGCTTTGTGACCGTGGGTCGCATTACTCACCTCCACTCCCACAGTCTCACCTTAAACTCTTCAATTGAGTCACTAAATCATCTAATTGCAAATGCTGGTACTCTCAATGATGGCGAGGTCATCTCTCATCTGTGGCTGCCCTTTTCTGCCTTTACACTCACAGCCAGAGTGGAGACTTCCTTCGCACTTCAATCTCACAACATTGAATAGAAGCATCATTTAGTTTTCCACTCACATCATCGTTACATTCACAGCCACCACCGGGACGTCTCGAAGCTGAGCGCCGTCACAGTCAAGCTCCAGCTCTCGACACTGGCAGAGCTCAGGGAAAATCCCCAGCACTAGAAAGATGAAGGGCAGAAGAAATGCTGTGGGGTGTGAAAGAGTCAATCCTGCAGCTTTTCTGAAGAATACAAAGGCTGAGATTACATTTTCTAAGCAACATCCATGATGAATCATTTTTTGATTTCCTGTGATGTGACGTCGTCTTCTTATAATCCCTTTATAATCTTTAATCTTCTTATAATCATTAATCCCAGTGCCTTTATTCTTTTATTCACTTTCACGGCTGCTGCTGTTTCTACTCTAAATCTGCATATAAATGTATTTTTACTGATTTTTTACTTTGGTATTTTGTTCTTGCCTTTGTGTATCCTGACTATTGATGCTTATTCTGTTATATTTCCTGCCTTTGCTTTGTTGGTCAAAGCACTTTGTGTCTTGCTGCTACTCTAAGCTTCCTAACTTGCATGTTGTTCACACAGCCAGAGTCGATATTCACAGCGGAGAAGAGCACGTTTCTTACACACAGGCTCACAGAGAAACTCTTAATAGTAAAAGAAAACTTATTTTTTTAAGTTGTGATTGGCTGTCATTTCAAGATCATGTTGGTGTAAACAAAAACCTTCTATCCTCTTTCTTTAAGAAGAACAACAACAGGCGAAACCTGGTGGGTGTTCCTTTTGTAAATACAGCAGTGAGTGTATTTTCTATTTCTTTTTACAGTACACATTCAGAAGCTGGAATTAATAGTAGGTGGAAGGAAGCGTGGGCGTTTGTTTTGAAACTGCTGTCAGATTATTGGGAGAAGCAGGATGCATGAGCAGAGAGAAACTTACTCAGAAAAATAACTGAATCTTGTGTGTCAGAATAATTTTGACAAATAAACAAACCTGGACAATTTGACCTCCTCTAAACTGATTGAGTTGTCATGTTGTGTGATTTAGTGCAGACACGATATGTCAATATTTAGGCGACACATGCATTACCGCTGCTCAAACAGATGTCATACTAATTAAATACTGCTGTCAAAAATGAACTGAATGTAGTTGACAGTAAAAATTAGCTCCATTTATTTGCAGGAAGAGAGAAAACCTGTCAGAGTTTATGTGTTATTTGGAAAGCTCATTAAAACTGATTTGTTTGAAAACCAGTGCAGGGAGGTAAAACTGGAGAAATGACCTACAGCGCAGTAGATAAATAACACTTAAAGAGTACATTTCAACCAAACCGAAATGAAGGCAAACGTCCATAATGCTCCTGTGAGGAGTTCTTAGCATGACCATCAGCGACCATACACTTAATACTTCTACATAAGTGTTTTAAATTGCTGCAATGGGGAAGAAGACAGACAACATGATTAACAGCATGAGGAGGAAGTCTGTAAATATTAATGATTGAAGCCTGGAGTCCAATTGAAGGCAGTCTCCATGCTGGAAATGCTGTCTCAGCCTAACTTTCATTCGACCTAACGACAGGCTGAGAGCTGGAGCTGAGGCGGGTTTTAAGCCTCTTGACAAACCTTTACCCCCCCCGTACAGCGTGTGCCGATCGAGACATGAGCTAATCAGACTCGTGGGCACGTTGTAGAGGTCTGTCAGGAGGCTTTAGTCTGGCCTCAGCTCCAGATCTTTACCCGATTCGTTGACTGAAAGTTTGTGTGAGAACAGCATTCCCCCCTTCAGAAACCAATGGGTGACGTCACTGAGATTACATCCATAACAACAAATACCAAGAGGTTTACATGTCGAAAGAATTTGTCTTTTGGTGTTATTGATGCATTACAGTAAGTATACAAATAGAATGACAGCAACCAAAGTGAAAGCAGTATCCATACTGTCAAGAAACAGAAACAGTGTAAAATAGGAATACATAAAAAATATTTTTTTTTCTGTATGTGAGGGGCTGCATATCCAATAAAAGCATAAAAAGACCCCTAAAAAAATCCATCTTCTCCAGTGGGAATTCTTTAATGAGCAGGGTCGGTCTTAATATGTTCCACTCTAGAAACTGGAACGAGATTTTTTTTTTTTAATAATCTTTAGTTATAGTCATTTCTCAAACTAATAATCCAATTTCCGTCCCGACTTCACACTGTGATTCAGCTGAGATTCCTCTGTGCAGAGGAGAGATAAGAGGCAGGCTGTGAACATCCTCTCTCGCTCTCTCTTTTTTTATTTCCTAACGTTCTCATCCTTTTCACAGAAACAGCGTGAATGCATTCCAGGAGAGGCCTTTATTGCCTTTTCTCTCGGTTATGGTCAGCCTATCTCTCTCTCTGCCTTTGACTGCAGCCCTCAGAACAACTTTAGACACTTCTGATTTCAAATGTGGTCGCACAACATGTTGCACAAACAGGTTCTTTTGAGTATAACTCCTCTCTCTCTCTTAGGGTTTGGATGGACTGGGTTTTGATTGTCTGTAGGAGTGCTCTTTTAATCCCCAGATAGAAAGAAGGAAAAAGATTGAAGTTTGAGTAGCAGCTGGCTGGAACTTGTTTTCTTCAAGAGAGGAAAATAGAGGCACAAATCCCTCCAGTTTAGTTTCTAACTCCAGAGCTTCCCCTGACTCTCTTAAGGCAAAATGCTGCAGTTCAACTCAAAGGAAATAAGTTATCTGAAAGGTGATTAAACATGCCAGACGGATGGAAGGGAACAGTGTTTTTGAACGTCAAACCAACAGGTGTTGCAGCGATGGAAGCGAGCAAGAGAAGTGGTTCAGATAGAAGTGATTGTACCCGACCTAAAAAGCCTCTGCATGTTTCTAATAAGCTCCACGAGCAGAAACGTGCTCAAACTAGGATCAATATTGGAGATGCTTTTGAAAAATGGAGAGAGGTTAGAACACAGAAAGGTTTACAGACCCATGCAGAGCTGGATAAACACTGAAGCTTCAGAGTCCACCTGCGTGAGCATCCACTCTAGAGAGGAGGGGGCGGGGGGGGGGGGACAGCTCTCTACAATGTTTACAATTTGGACTGCAGTACCCATTTTAAACACCAGGTGTCAGAGTTAAATTTTGCTCCTTTAAAGAGTTTAAAAAATAATGTCTGAAGTCGACTTTGATTTTTCAGTTTTTTTGCATCGTCATGTCACTCTGAATTTCAAAAAAGGGCTTCATGTAAAAATCAATAGAAGTGGATTGCGTGATATTTATCTGTCTGGGAGAAGTCTAATGCATCCAGAACTGTATTCTTACCTCCCCAAGAAAGCTCACCAAACATCCACAAAATCAACCCAGCAAACCAGTTGGAGTCATGAGGGAATGACCCCTTTCCTGGCTTCTCACTTACAGATAAAGACTAGAAGCAAATTTGATAAACCTCAGTAACTTCACAAGAAAGTTTTTAACAGGTCCCTGGGAGAATATGTATGATATCTCAGCTGTGACAAATGAATGGTTCAACCTTACACTGGTCATTAAAGCAGATTCAATCGGCAGCCCTATTATAGAAGAGGGAGGGAATCTAGGAAAGCTTTTTCCGGAACAGATTGAACAACAGTACAACAGTACAAATATGAATAATCAAAGAACCAGGATACTCACGGCATAAATTGGACCTGGTCCCTGTGTCTGAGCTCGGCATTCCAAAATACTTGTCGAAAAGATGTGGCCATCCGTTATTATCTCCTGGAAGAGAGAAAACGAGAGAAAGCAAGAGGTTACAATCTTTTACATGCCCCTCACAATAAATCGACTTCCTCTAAAATTCAATTTGAGGTTGTTCAAAGTCTCTTTTCTATCAGACTTCTGTGCACACATTACAGTTCTTCTCGCCCTTCACTCTTCTGTGATGGACTGATGAGCTTTTTCATTTTTTGCTGTGGACAAGATCAAGGCCGTTCTTCTTGCTTTATAATCGTTTTAGAGATTGAATAAACATGAAGACACTGGCTTTGCAAATAATTCGAGCAGCTGTGATTGGATATTTTTTTATTTAATTTCCCTTTAAATCAACCGAAAGCAGACTTTTGGTACCTTTAGCTTGTTATATAATCATGACCTTCTTTTGAATGTGTGCTTTATAAAAAAAATTGTCGAAGTTCAATGCAGGAAAGATAAGTTTGTAGTTTAACCAGAAAGGCTTTGGACAAAAACATCAATATTGTTATTGTCCTTACTTGTGGGATACAATCATCATATTCACTGGTGCCAAATATCAATATTTTTATTCAAGCAAAAAACTGAACAGATTTCAGGGGCCGCTGTGCAGGAGCAACTTGGGGTTAAGTGTTTACCCAAGGACACACTGAACATGTGGTTGCATGAGCTGGGGATTGAACCCCCGACCTTCCATTGTGGGCCACAGTATCATATCGTATTATATTGTATTGTATGGTATGTTATCATATTGTGACTTACCCTGAGATTCACACCTCTACTACCAGACACCCACATTAACAACACTTATTACTGCTCTTTACATTTTAAACTAGAGAGGTGACGCTCAAGTGCAAATCTATTTCAGATCTACTCATCTGGCATCCACTGTGCCCCTGTTGCTGGGCAGAAGAAAATATTTTTTTAGGTCACATCAAAGCTGAGCGTGTGGTCATATTAAAATGACTGTCGGTGTATCATTTGATCATCCCAGTTATATACTTCCTGTGAGGGGGAACATCATCTCGTCGTCGACTTATCTCACCCTCCTGGGAATAGTTAGTGCAGGTCAACTGGCACAAATGTGCTATTATTTAAACTCTACCAACTGAGCCACAGCCGCCTACATCATGTCATAAATGTGCAGCTCAAGATTCACAGTCAAGCGTTTTTCCCCCAGAGTTTTCAAAAAACATTTTGTGCCTGACTAACTTTGTCTACCAAAGAAAAGTTTCCTAATAAATTCTTCTGTTCTTCTCTACGTTGAGGTTTGGTTGACAATTTACGATTTACTGTAAGTCAGTGTCACTTTCAAAATCCAAGGATGCACTTTCACAGTCCACTTAAAATATCTGGAAAAAGTCTGAATCCCTAAAAAAATACTCTGTTTACAATAATATATACAAGAGAGACTAGCAGCAAAAACGCCCGGATGGTTTTAAGGGATTGCAAACGCCTTAATCCAGCTCTGGCAGGCTCACAAGTTTCCACACGTGCCAGTCCAGGTTCAAGGACTTCATCAAACTGTTTTACCTTCCTTACAATCCAGCTGCTTTCTGACAACTCACAACTTCAGTCTCCAGTTAAACCTGAAGTCGTCATCTGCTGCTTTTTCTCAGGTAATGATTATTTAGGATGATTATCTACGTCCCAACGACATTTCCATAATCTCTGCTTATGTATTTTAAAGACATATATCTGGTGGGAATTCATATTATTGCAAAAGAAACAGTTTACCTGTGTGACATGGTAACTGTAGCCATGACGACAGTGATCAGTATTATCATGTGGCTAGGAGAAAAAGCAACCTCTTTCTTTTTTTTAATTTCCAGCAGTAATGAAGTTGTCTGAATGTGTTTGCGAATCTGAAAACAGGAAGTCAGGGTGAGTCAGTGCCAATCAGCACAATGAGGATGAAGCGCTCTGTGACCTCATCCCCTCTGTGATCAGAGTCAACATGATCTGCATGTCAACGTCATTAACCGCTCAGTGCCCACGACAAACCACAAGGTGATCAGCTGGAATGTGGATATTAGGATAATATATGATTACATCGGCACAGCCCTCTTTCAAATCAATACTGTCAGACTTTCAGTGCATTTTGTCTGCATGCACATTCAACATGACGTCTACCAAAAAGGCGTAGTTCAGTTTATTCAATGCATAACATTGACAGTTCATTGGGCGCTGGTGGAGCAGTGGTGGGTGCACGCGCTCCATTGTACAGGGGCTTTGGTCCCAGGGTCGAATCCAGCCTGTGGCTCCTTTCCCCGCATGTCATTCCCCACTCTCTCTCTCTCTCTCTCTCTCTCTCTCTATGATTTCCAACTCTATCCACTGTCCTATCTCCTCAATAAAGGCACAAAAAGCTTGATTGAGTGTGGGCTAGTGCACACAGGGGGGTAGACAACAAGCAGGGAGACAAGGGAGTCCATCCTCTCGCCATCTTTTGCCTGCTCCACTTTTAAGAAATGATTCGAACCAATCAGAGTGCCAGAGATCATGTTCCCTTAAAGAGCCAGGTGTGCCTGCAAGCGGGCACGTTGCTATTTACACCGCAGATTTTAAGCTTTTATTCAGAGACAGACTGAACTCAAGAATGCGGCATGCAACTTCACTAATCAGTCCCTCCAGGAAGTTGCGATGTTGCAATCGCAACAATTGAGGCAAATTCAACCAATCCCCACGAATTCTGGGCGACCTTGCAATTTTGTCCAATCACCGCAACTTTTCTGCAAATTTGACTGTGGTGGAACACAAACGAAAGTCATCGATCTACCGCAAAACACACTAGGAGAGTGACTGAAACGCACAGACATACAACATACAAGACAAATCACAGTGACAGAGGCTGTTGCAAATGGATCGATAGCAAGTGCTGAAGGTAGCAAGGTGAGTTAAATAAATAAGCATGGATAGAGCTTGTCTGATTGCGAAACAAATGGTGTGTGCGCGCGCACTCATGCGTGTGAGTGCAACTTGCATTGCAGTTTTCTTGAAAAGCTGCCGCGAAATCAGGCATTGTAGGCCGCAACAATCCCCAAAAAAGTCTGCGAAATCCTGGAGGGACTGACTAATACAACAGTTAAACGCTGCAGGAGATGTAAGATCTAATACCATTGAATCTGTGCCATGTGCCGGGTTTGTAATAAATACTGGTGTGTGAGATATTGACACAAAGATTAATAATTTAGATTCTCTTTGGTTGTGTTAATTCCAGTGTTTGGCGGTTCTGTACAGGATTAAACACATGAAAAATAAGATAGAAGGACCACATCCTATAGAAGGGTTAATTAGCTCGTTTTGATGTATGGCTCCCCTTTTATGTTTGTATGCAGTCCTTTATGAACTCACACAAGGATACACATGAAGCATTATATCACTGTTCAGTCGTTTCATGGGGTACAAAATAACATTAAGTGTGTTTGGTTGGTCTTTAGGACCCTCACACATCTTTTGTTTTGATGGTAAATGTTGAATGTACAAATAAAGCCGTGCGTCTTCTCTGCAGGTAACTATCAAACATGCACATGCATTAAATGTAGAAGTGTGGATTTGCATTTCAAAAACAGGCTATTTATGATTAGCAGCACAACATGCATTCTAGTATTGTGCTGTCATCAGAGGTATTATTTATTGTATCCATAGTAACCGTGTATGAGATGGGTTGCTTGGTCCTCCTCTTTATTGGACACTGAAACATCTGTAATAACAGGAAGGATTAACCTGAACATTGGCAAAGACATCCGTGGATCCCGTCACACAAATTTATCCTCCTTCAGTGACCTTCAACATTTCCTGCTGCGCTCCTTGAGAGTGACATCAGCGATTCACAGTGAAATATCTCCGACTGAATGTATTGCCGAAAAGGTTGAAACCGATTCAAAGCCCGAGCAAACATCAATCTCAGTGACTCTGGTTCCTCTGACCTTTTCTGCAGTGTTATCAAGATTGGCCTTTTTATTTAAATATTTGGACCGCTATGGGATGGATTGCAATGAAAGAGACATTCAAAGTTTAGTTTTTTTGAGGTCTTTGGGTTTGTGACCGAACAATCGTACAATGCCAGCATCCTTATAGAATAATAGAATAGAATAGAATTACTTTATTGATCCAAAACTGGGAAATTGTGGCGTTTCAGCAGCAGGTTATCCAAACACACAATATCAGCAAATAAACACAATATTAGAAAATTTAAACATAATATAATATTAAATACAAAGTAAATAAGCACTAAAAATATCAAAACTAAGAATGGGAATATATACAACCAGGATTTAACTAAGCATTACTAGTCTTAAATATGAAAGATTAAATACAACATACTTTGCTAGAGATAGATGTAAAGTTATATAACAAAATAAAACTATGTGCAAATTTCTACCATTACCTCAGAATGATTCTATTCCCTTCTAATCTTCAAACTCTGTCATTTTTAAAGGAAAAAGCCTTAAAAATGATCAAACACAAAGGTCATCTCCTGATGTCTGTGAGTCTGAGTCTTGGTCATTGAGTTCATTTTTATTTAAGATTTTAAGAGTTATTTTTTCTGCTCACGGTCGAGAATTACGGAGGCTGCGTTTTGCGATTATGAATGAAACTTTTGATCTTTTTTGGTGCAGATTCAGGAGGCTTATCCGGCTCCACAGCACGGTGACAGAATTTAAGAATGAACCAGCTCGGCACATTAGCAGAACCTCAAAATGATTAGATTGCAGCATGCAAAAAGGATCTGCTTCCAATCATTCAACAGTTAGTATGTGATGGTTATTTAAAGTTTGTGGAGCTTTGACATCATACTCAGGGTCTAAATGTCCATTTGAGGAAAGACAGACTGAGCTTCCTGCATGTATGTGCAGCATTCAACACTGGCATGAAACACTATTTCTACATCACAAGAGATCCCCTGGATGCAACATCAAAAGGGCTTACGATCGTATATACATGGTATTCCTATGTTTTAAACATTAGCATTTCGGCTAGGCTTTAGATGTATGTAAAAAGTGCTTTGAATCTGCTGATCATTCACC